AACAATATTAAGACATAAAAGAGGTGCACATAGCCAAGTTCATTAATTACTTAAAACAGAGAGAATAGCCCAAAATATATCAATTTGTAGAATAAACTCGGTTATATAATGTAACTGTAAAACAAGATAAGTACGTAGATTACTACTACTAAAACTAAAGAGAACTATTTTCCCAAAAATTAACACTGATTCAGTATTACGATTAATGAGTTGAACCTCTCACAAAAACCTAAAAGTACAATAAAATTTAGTGTTGAGGTATTGAAAATTACATGTTTGAGACCTTACAAAAGTTCGTTAAAGAACACAGCAAGCTTACGTTGTTAAATAATAAAAGTCAATGGTTTAGGAGATTATATAACAAAATACGATAAATACTATAAATATAAGCCATAAACTATATGGGCGAAAAAAAAGTTGTTTAACTCTAATTCAACGAATGATCACTGAACTTAGACTAAAGAAAACCCACTTAACTTAAGAGCTAGTGGAAGTACTACCAGCGCCCCATCTTCTTCCAGACATCACATACTCCCTGTCTACCTTCTGTGAAGACAATGAGACAGAACCTGGAGCCTGGAAGCAAAACTTGCAGTTAACCAGGAGGTCGGTGTCTCGCCAGCCAGACACGTAACATATTCCACAGCTCAGGATACTCTCTTCCAGTCGTTGGTTCTGGACGAGGAACAGATGATAGAGATTGGAAAAGGTGGCGTGGCACTGTGGCGAGCAATAAATCCTCCATAAAGATAAGGTGGTATGCATCAACTAAAACGCCCAAAACTCGAAGTCCGAACTCCACGCTACAACCAGAGATTGGGCACTTCCTAAAAATACTTCTGGACACCCTGCTGCGCACTTAGGCATTCAAAGTTCCCAAAAACCGCCTTTTTGCCTCAAAGATCCAGCTAGAGAGAACTTCGCTTCTTTTTCTCTACCTAATTACAATACCTAATTTACTAGAACGATCTTGGCCTTGACTACTTAGGTGTATCAAGCCAGCATTGCTAAATCACTTACATTGTATATGAAACATCACCCATATTCCCAATTAAAAAACTGTTTACACACGTATGAGCCAGATACTTAAACGAAAATATTATAACATCCCTAACTAAAACCAAATAGAATATTACAAAAATGGTAGCTGAACGCGAACTAAGTAAGATACCATCCAGCCAACCAAATAAAAGGCCAACCAAATTCTACACTTATTTACAGATTCTTAGAGGTGACATACACTAAACCATTAAGACCTGCTTACAGAATTATTAAAATAAAAATATGTTCATAAATTAAAAAGAAACCGTAACACATTGTGAGATACAAATGACTTTTCTTCTTTACCCTTTCATTTAATAAATAAATTTATTGAAGTGATGCTCAAGATAGGAAGAGCCAGGCAATCAAGCTGATTTATTACACCCAATTTAAAAAAATGAGATAAATTAGATTATCGAGCGATTTCCGTAACGATTATTTAATTTAAAAATAGTTTATTTATTTAAAACAGTTTATTTACCCTAATTACTAATTAATTTATTTAGACTTAAGCACATTTATAATTTATTTAACAATTTATCTCTACTTGACAACATTTATATTGAAACTTAGCTTAAACGGCGAAACAATCCACTTATATATAAAATTGTAGCAGTTTAAGAAGATCCAACCCTGTCTAAAAAATTAATGATAGTCTGTCTGGAAGAACCTCAAAATTCTTCATCCAAGCTTCAAGCTGCGAGAGAAAACATTCTAGTTACTTTCTCAATAATTCGAGGTGGACGGGCAGCAAAAGCTACAGACATAACGGCAGAAGTCGAGGGTCGGAGCTGCCCTCGCACGACAATATATAGTTTATAATAAGATATTACCCTAACTATTGTCTACTTTTGATTAAAACCAAATTTTTTAGCAACAAGTAATTAATGGCCGCCAATTTTAACAAAGGTACTATAAATTTAAGCTCTCTACCATAAAATATAGGTTAATATCCCAAAATGTAAAATATCAACAAGAACTATTTCGCTACCAATGTTAAAGTGATAGAAATGCCCCAAGTCCTCTGACAAAAGAATATCGCATTTTTAGTTACGTGTCTTCTTATTTCAGTTGCGCTTTGTTGTTGCTTTGCAACGTAAACGTTATTAAGGTGCGTTTACACGAATACAAGAAGTCACTTTGAAAAAAATTAAGATTACGTTTTACATTTTGTCTACAAATACTAGAACAATTACGTGAAACAGATTCTTTGTTAAAAAAAATATAATATAACAAGAGGCACATAAAATATTTATTGGATAACTCATATACATTGTTTTAATTAATATCATTTTCTTCACAACTAGGCTCTGATTCAGACTCATCACTACTTGCTGTTGTACCTAAATTAATAATAATTGGTTCTAGATCAGAAATTAAAAAACTAATTGCTTGTATTTTTTCCATTCGGAAACCATTATGTTTTTAGTGTGTCGTACATAATTGTCCCACTGAGTATTGGTAACATTATTCAAAGCTTCTGACCAAGTCTGAAATAAATCATCCGGTGACGATTTTGTTGTTAAAATTTTTTCGTCATAAAATCGTTTGCACACCATCTATATCACATTGTACTGGCAGTGATGTGAAGAAGTTCTTAATATTTTATGCCCATGTGCTTCAACATATCTACCTAGGTGGAACTATTTTCGTGGTGTATTTTGACGTAAAACTGATGTTTTATCTGATAATAATAATTGGATAATTAATATTCTTTTCCTGCAACCATTTTATCTTTTGTCCAACTATAACATGTAATTGGTTCCACGTACTGCGAATGATAATCAAAGAAAAATGTTCCATACTAGGTACAAATTTCGTCTTAAAACATTAATTATATTTATTATCATTATTCATATTATTATGGTAATCCCCGCTTTTTGTTTGATTTTTAAATGTGAAATTTGCATTTTTTATAAACCCTTCTTTATTGTCACCATGGACAATTATTAATTGAATTCCATCTCCTGTTTTTTACTTGCATCCTTTCATCTTGTCAACTTTTTCTGTGACTTCTCTTGCTATATAGGTAACGTATCATCCATAAATAAAGTTACCCAGCTCTATCTTCTTGTTAAAAATAAAAAAAAAGATTGTCCCAATAAAAACTGTCTGTTGTTACTTCTTTTAAAGTAAAAACAAATTTTTCGAATTCATGACGGTGCAGGACATTTCACATCAGGGATTTCTTCCGAAAATCATTTATGTAAAGATTTCATTGTTACATATTGGGCACCTTCGTACATCTTATATATAACTTGCCTCAACTTACCTAATATTAAAGAATTAACTTTTGTTTTATTTAGGCTTACTTTTTTAGATAATATTTTTACATACTTCGTATCAGAATTTGTTGGTTTACTGAGTATATAAACAGTTTTCTACGATATATTTAATGCCCTTGCAGCCATTTGATTGTACCTCTTTCCAAGAGCCTCGCAAATAGATTTGTGACCCTTAAAATAGGAAACTACGTTTGGGTTAAAGTTTTTTATTGATCACAAAATTTTTTCATCAATTTATTGAATACTTATAAAAACTTTTGAAATATCAAAATATACAAATTTTTAACAAATTGACAAAATCAAAATTATTTTGATAATTCCCTCGTTACATAATAACATGATGTAATTATTCTACGACGTGCCAAAATCTAGTAACTTTTTGTTTTATCCATTTTACATTTGAACAATAAAGAAATCGAATGAACTTGGGGTATTTCCGAGTCTTTACCATTAAAATGCTACGATACTTTAAAGTTCCAAGTTCATTGGAACTATTCTGGGACTGTCTATGTACCCAGTTACTTTATTTAGGTACATTAGTCGCACATGTGGATGGCAGTAACTAAGTCACTGAAACTATGTAGCCACTATGGAGTAACAATTAAATGGTTCTGTTCAGTTCCAGTAACTACCCAAATATTACTTTGACTTTGGGTGTTTACATTTCCAATAAATAGCATCGGTGTGTTTCTTTAAAAGAAACCATATACGGTAGGATTACCCAATAAAGTAGACTTACCCAGTAATATTAGTATCAGGGTATCCCCTGGAACTAAGGCTTCGTAGCAAAACCAAAACCGAAAATATATGGTACAATGTGTGTTAGGTATGCAGATGACACGAGGTTTTATGTGAAATAAACTATTTAATAGATAACTTTATAATTAAAATATCAAAACCCTATCATTAATTTTTATCTAAAAATCGTATTTGAATTGTGCGCCAAAAAAAAATTACTTTGAAATAGATAAAAAAATCCCGTCGTCAAAGTAATAGTTTCGAGAAGAGGCTTAATTCGGACCTTATTTGTTTAATTCTAGATTTTTCTGATATCTAAGAAAAATAAAAAGAACATCGTTAAACTAGTTGGTAAACTTTTTAATGAGTGTTTGTGAAATTAGGCAATTTTTTTGTGCTTCTTAAAACCACATTTTTAATATTGAGCCTTTTTCTAGTTATTCGTGAAACTGAAATTGTTCTGTAATAGATATTTTAATGAATCAGATTTCTTTATATAAAAAAGCTTCCTGATTTTTACCAGTTTTTACTAAATTCTACCTTATTACTAAAATATACTTAAAGCTTTAGTCTAATTTTAATACGGAATATACTTTCCTGGATTTTGTACAAAAAGAGCTAAAAGTTATTTTTATTTGTTACAGGTAAGAAGTTCTTCATTTTAAACCAAAATCTTATTACGAAATGATGAAGTTCAAGTAAGTAAATATAAATTAATATTTCAACCAATGGATATGTTATGATTATTATTGACGCACTAAGGGAAAAATTGCTATAGTAAAATTCAAAATTGTTGTTGTTTTGTCTAAATAGTTGTAACTTGCGCTTTTGAATTGCTTATAAAAAAAAAACAAAAATGTCAAAAAGATACCCTTTAATCGTCTCAGTTAGCTTAGCTCCTGTTGAAAATCCTAATCACTTCCGACAGCAGACTATCGAAAGATGCTTGTCATACCGATGAACAAGATAGCCGGTCTCTGCCTCGTCTTAGTGCTCCTGAGAAACCGACACCACGAGAATGGGATACACGCCATCATCCACTACAATAATGTTTGATACGTATACTCATCGTTTCTGGTTTCAACGGCTTTGTGGAAATCGATGCTCTGTATTATATTTTCGAATTAAAAATATTACCATTATGTTGACATCTTCTGAAGGTAATTGCAGGGTAATACTGTCACCTTCACTATTTTATTCACTGAGAAAGTACGCGTTTACGCTGTAGACACAAACAATACGATCAATATATTCTTCTCACAGCCCTCTGTAAAGAGTATTATAAGTTTAATTAAGAGAAACCAAAATTTTTAATGCTGATACAAAATTAAACTTTTTTGTACCAAAATCATTCTCATCAAATTTTTAACAACCTTTAAAAATGCACGTCCGTCCGTTAAAAAAAATCATAAATCAGAAACGAAAACGAGAAATGATATTAATTTAAAATTTTCAGGAAAAATCAAACTCTATAGAGAGACAAAGCCTATGAACAAAAATGGATGGTTAAGGGGGGCTGAATTTAAAAAAAAAACATAAATCAAAAACGAAAAACGATATCAACATGAAAATTAGTATAAATCAAGCTCTGTAAGGGGATGAGGCCTATTCAGAATAAAAATGGGGAGTTTAAGGGGGTTCAACTATTAAAAAAAAATCCTATTTCAAAAGCAAAAACTGATATCAACTTGGTATTTTTTTCAAAAATCAACATTATAAGGGGATGAAGCTTACTAGTTAAAAAAACATCTAAATAAAAATGGGGGTTCCGGTGGGCTAAAATTAAAAAAAAAATAAAAATAAAAAACGAAAAGCGATATCAACATGAAATTTTTAGTAAAAATTAGGCTCTATAAGGAGATAATATTGTATAATATTGTATTCTTTGAAAAATATTAATAAGGGACGAGAAAAAAACAATTTCATACCAATTTTTGTTAATATTGTTCGACAATGTGGTTTTTTTTACGAATATTAAAATTATACAAGAGCAAATGGAGTTTTCTAGATGATTTTGCATTTTTCCAGAAAATAATGCATAACTTAAATAATTTTTTTTATTTAAATACTGTTACCCAGGTTTTTAATAACTCAATTTATTTCAAACTGATAACGTCTAATGTTTATCATAAAACTGAAACTCTGACGTCAGGATCACCGACTTATATGGCTCGCTTCCCAAAACGTCCAGATGTTTCTTGACATGGAATGACTTTTCTAGACATTTCTCGAATATTCTCCCTTCTTCTTTTACTCGCACCTTTGCTTATGACGTCCGCAGTACACTATAGGATGATGGGTATTCTTTAATACCAAAAGCTGTTGTAATCAAAATTTAATTAACAATACCAAATTCAATACTTCATAACATATATTTTCCATCAAGTATTTCTATTCGATTAAGTTCATTTGATGAGAAAATATATAACTTAATTATTGAATTTTTAATTAAAGAAAATATTAAAATATAAATAAATAATTATTCGTTTTACAAAAGTCTGTGGCAACAAAAACTACGTTTAGATGCCAATTCTCAAAAAAAAAAAAAAAAAAAAAAAAAAAAAAAAAAAAAAAAAAAAAAAAAACATATCAACAGTATTTAAGTAATACACAAAAAACATGTCATCCATGTAAAGTTGCTGCTGTCAAGTAACAGTATTATAACAACCAACTAATCTATAGGACCTCCGTTTGTCACCAAATGTGACAATCAGTTAGGTTAAAGACCCATTTGTAACAACTGGTAGGTCTTTAACTACTATCACTAGCCAAAGAATCCTGGGGTCCGAAAGGAACATCCATTCACCAGTGGCAAATAAAAACAAAAATAAAATTAAAAAACAAAATTATTCTTTATTAACATAGTCGTGCGGTTTTGGCAACTAGTTATAGACCCTTCTAGTCCTTAGGAGTAGAAACGCCAATGCGTCACAAATGCTCGGAATATTTCATAATGTGCTTCAGGACTCGAGACTTAGGTTACCTCTTACCCCAGTCACTTCTGTCAACTATCGACAGTACGAGTATATTTAAATCCAAAATTTACGTGAAAGTTTAATTTTTACTTTTTTAACCGACTTCAAAAAAGGAGGAGGTTCTCAATTTGTCAGTATATATATATATTTTTTTTATGTATTTTCAGCGATAATTTTTTAACACGGTGTCCGATTTTAAAGATTTTTGTTAGAAAGGGAATACTTCAGGGGTAACCCCATATAAATTTGATGAAAATCTAATAATTGGGTCCATGAGAAAATTTTCAAACTCTCCATTTTTATGTATATTTAGCGATAATTCTTTACCACCTTGTCCGATTTTTATGATTCTTTTTTTGTTAGTAAGGGGTGGTCCCATATAAATTTGGTTATGATATGGTGATGGCATCTGCACCATATTGAAGTCGGTTTTTTAAAATTAGTTTTGTTACTTACTGAAAACTATTGACTAGAGTAATAACCTAATTGTTTTCGTTTTGAATATTTAGATGAAACTTTAAAAATACTTTTTGGAATTTTTGTGTAATTTTTTATATCTTATTAATTATAATTATAACAGTATGTAGGGAATATAGGGACCAGTACTCAGTAACTATAGCTCTTTTATTTCATATCAGTAAAAAGAAACGCTGAAATGCTTTTTACTTACTTTCTCATTATCAAGATCTAAATGGGAATTAAATATTGATTGTGTTGTAGCAAATTTCTGTAATCAAACAATTTTATTTTGTTAATGTTAATTTTTGCAATAAATTGGAAAACATTTAATGTTTCCGAAACAGTTAGGTATAGGACATAGTACATAAAATATGTCTAGAATTTTCTGAAGAATCCAAAAATTAAAAAAATAGGCATCTAAATGCATCTTTTTGAACCACTCTTGATTATTTCTGACTCCGGGATTTCAGCATGGTGACAATGCAGCTTCATTTGAATACACGATTCATTCATTCCACTCTTTAGATGGGCTCCAGAGAACTTATAGTCTCGGATCACCCATCCAAAAAGTGTTTGACTATGGTGATCGATAAATGAATATATAGGTACATCGTCAGCCAGCGGCTCGGTAATATACCTCTTTGACATCAATACTTGACATCCTATATAGGTCTATATTCTTTTCCCTTTTTGAGTCAACTTTTGTCCTTATTTATAACACACCTGTGTACATTCTAGCTATTCCCCAGCATACGTATATTTTATATTATTCTGTATTGCTTATGACTTTAATGAACGTCAAAACTTCTAAAATTCGTATACAGACGGACCAGAACGTTTAGTTGACAATAAAGCTTTGGTAGCGAAAGTGTTTTAAACAGCAACTTTGAGATAAAGAAATAAAATAGATTAATTTTTTTTTGTTGAAAATAGTAGAAGTGTCAATGAAAAGACGACCCAAGTTAGATTTTAATTTGACTAAATATTTAAATTTTTATATACCATATTATATTCGGAAATCACTCAATTTATACACCTCCTTAAAAGTTTTCATACTTTTGGGTCGCTCTGTGTAACACGCGATGTATTTCAACTCAAATGTATTTCAAAGCAATTAATTTACTGAACATAACCTAAAACATAATTTTATTCGAAGCATGCAAACCAAAAACCTTTTTCTACATTATAAATTCAACGTTAGAGTTCCATTTTATACGAAAATTTACGTATTAATCAAATTAGATCGGCTACGTGAACGTATCAACGGGCCTAGAGCGTATAACATCAGTTTGTCCGTATTATAAATTTAAATACAAACATCAGACAAAAGAGAGAATATCGTTTGGTCTGAGTCTACAAATGTACAGAGTACGTATGTGTGTACCTACGGTTTTGAAATTCGGATCGAATGCATTTATATGTATGTAGCCCAAAGCAATGGAGAGGCAGGGTATAATTAAGGGGATTGCAATTTGTTTTAGAGAAAAGCCCAATGGAAAATTGGAAAATTGCGCTTTCCGACCGGTATTCAGTAGCGTCGTTTCTAAATAACACTGTTACAATATTGCAAAGTATTAATTATAAAACAAAGTATCGAAAATTAATCGGATTTTTTCAAATAATACTTGGTTTATTTTTACCCTTTGAATTGTCATTTTCAGATAATTATAATAAACAATAAACTGCACGTACCTCTAAACGATTATCTCTAAAAACATTAGGGGAAGGCAGGGCAGATTTGACATGAAACATTCTCTATTCATCAGAAATGACAATTAACTGGGTTTTTTGTTAAAAAATTGGAATAGACAGTTAAAAGAATTTCCTAGTTTTTAAGCTATTCATGGCTTTTATCGCGGGCTTTGAACGTGGCGACCGAATCAAGAAATTCCGTAACGACCGTAACGAAAAAAAAACTAACACCCCATACTCCGACCGGCACAGCGGTGCGGCGTTAAACAATATTAACTTCTCATTTATTCAATAAAAGAAAATCGAAAAATCGAAAAATCGAAAAATCGAAAAATCAAAAAATCAAAAAATCGAAAAATCGAAAAATCGAAAAATCGAAAAATCGAAAAATCGAAAAATCGAAAAATCGAAAAATCGAAAAATCGAAAAATCGAAAAATCGAAAAATCGAAAAATCGAAAAATCGAAAAATCGAAAAATCGAAAAATCGAAAAATCGAAAAATCGAAAAATCGAAAAATCGAAAAATCGAAAAATCGAAAAATCGAAAAATCGAAAAATCGAAAAATCGAAAAATCGAAAAATCGTAAATCAAAAAATCGAAAAATCGAAAAATCGAAAAATCGAAAAATCGAAAAATCGAAAAATCGAAAAATCAAAAAATCGAAAAATCGAAAAATCGAAAAATCGAAAAATCGAAAAATCGAAAAATCGAAAAATCGAAAAATCGAAAAATCGAAAAATCGAAAAATCGAAAAATCGAAAAATCGAATAATCGAAAAATCGAAAAATCGAAAAATCGAAAAATCGAAAAATCGAAAAATCGAAAAATCGAAAAATCGAAAAATCGAAAAATCGAAAAATCGAAAAATCGAAAAATCTGCCCCACAGTGGGGTAGATTTGACTTCTTAAAATATTGAGTGGGGCAGCTTTGACACATTGTATTAGACTACTAGTACAATCCATAACCTACATAGAACACTAGGCTAATGACCTTAGATGTTGAAGCCGTACACAAAAGAAAAAAAAATATTTAAAAAAATTGTGTTTTAACACAAATATTCGCTCTGTTTAATAAAAAGTCATTCAGATTGTAATATAAACACAATTATTTTAAATTGTAACTATCAAAATTGACTTCAAACTCATTGTATTTGTTTATAAATATTGGTGAGGGT